AGCTAATTCTGCAGCATGACGGGGCTTGATCTCACGCGGCTCAACTTGTCAAAACGGCCATCTGAGGGTTCAACTAGGAAGTTCAAATACATCTGCCCCACCGGATTATCTCCTGCTCCAGTGGCTGTCAAACCAAAATAGAAGCATTACGGACGTCAACAGTAAAGACTTCCTAATCTCAGTTTTTTAACTTCCCGATAAATTAATTTCTGTTTGCGGTATACATCAGTTGATATTTCAGGTCTATAGGCATAGACCGAAACTGCAAGTGTATATTTGGGCTGAAACCCGTCAAACACAGTGAAATATACACTTGCTCCAACAGACAGACTGCAGTAGTATAAATTAATGTTGTAACTTTCCATACTAACAGCCTAGCAGCTGTGTTAAAAAGCGGCAGAATACCGGCGAAACACGCGTCTGGGCCTTTTAGACAGTACCTAGACTGTTAGTATGGTAAGGTACAACACCACCAATGCTGCTCTCGTAGCTATTTCTTCAAATAAACAGAAGACTTTTGTAAAAGTTGTATCGGAAAATAGGCTAGAAGGTGGGCTAAACTCTTTAACAATAATATAGGATGTATCAGGTTACTAGCTATCTGTTACCTAAGTCAGGAGTCTTTTGAAGTGATGTTCCAGCTTAAAGGGTAATGAACAGACTCCCACAACAATCATTACTGCACTGAAAATATTTCTACCGGTTGGCCACGAGTCGATAAAAGCATCGTAGCACGTAATAGACTGAGTTACTATTGAAAGGCAAAATGAAGTATACGACTTTGGACAGCGGAAACAACTTAAAATCACTTAGCAAAAAATTGTCGTCTATAGTGGTCGTAATAGTAGCGCAGAAGTAAGGCGTCGGTTTTCAAGTAGAACGACATACAAAGTGTACATTGTCCAGTCGCCAAATGAGCTGAGATACAGCAGGATTTAAATCAAACTCTGTCATTTAACCGTCTTGCTAGGGGCAGGATGAAGCCGAATGATCGCATCCCCTACCCCTCCTACCTAGAACTAAGGCAAAACATCAGTTTTCAGTTCCTTCATCAGAACATCCTAAATAGTGCAAAGAGACCTAAAGAAAATTGTACCCTTCCCTAAGTTTCTGGAACAAAGAATATGTGACGTCCATTGCGGGGCCTGGAAAACCTGTTTGGCACATGGTTAGCTCCTGGAAATGAAACCAATAAACCGGCCCCATAGTGATAGAGTACGTAAGGTGCAGACTGGCAAAAGTTGAGATTAACGGATAGCGAGCCTTTTTTGTGAAGACGCAGTCTGATCAAAAAGCCGACTGCAGATGGCTCTTGGATAACAGCGGCCAGTGGGTTCAAGTTATTTGATTCCCAAACGCGAGGTTTCTTTGAGCCAAAAGTTGATCAGGCTAGTAAACCCCAGAGGGGAGGGGGGAGTTTTTATCGAAACAAACGTTTGTTAACAAATCACGGCTAATGTGAAAGTAGTGTTCAACGCAGAAGGACGAAATTGGACAAGGAAGTAACCCACAACTGAAGGCAACGCAGTTTTATTTCGAATAGCAAACCTTTAGCACGTTGAGCAGGCGGGCCATTGAGACGTCGTGGTTCACGGGGCATATCGTGACGCAGGCGGCTTCCTCTACAACCGCAATTCCTTATGAGAAACGTTTAGACGGGGAACGAGGTCTCAGAAGCAAAGCGAGCGAAGCAACATGAAAAAAAATAAGCACGTGTTTGTAGAAATATTTTTTTTTTGGTTTGGTGAAAAAAAAAGAAACAAATAAGCGGACTAACCAAAAAATCATGCAATTTTTGGCTGAAGCAGAGGCAAACATGATTCGATAATGGGAGTGACAAATGGGACCCGGTGTCAAGTCAATATAATGCGGAAAGAAAGCAAACTGAAAGACTCGGTTTTTTTTTCTGGGAAGGTCATGATTAGGCAGGACAGACAAATGCGATGGAAGAATAAGTGTTCAAGCTCTCAGAGTCGGCGCTGCTACACGTCCTCGTGTGTCGGGAGCGTTCTGGACAAGTCATTCGAGGCCTGGGATATTGGCAGCAGAGCAGGTCGTCCCGAAAGGTCTGTAAGGTCGGTGGCGTGGAAGTCCTCATCAGAACCTACATAATCACTGTCACTGCTGGGTCCAGGAGTATCTGGTGAAAGGCCCTCGGAAGAGCGTCTGTGTTGTCGTTCCTGTCGCCGTTTTTTCTGCAGTTTTCGTTGGGAGGAGGTTGGGGCAGTATGTGGCATCAGGGGGCTGAACTCTTCGCCCGCGTGGGCTGTCATTGCCCGCGACTTGGAAAGGCCAGGTACTATCGCAGTGCGAGGCGGACCGGAGAATCTGCCATCAGAACCGATGAAGCCGACCCTGCTGCCTATAAAGCACAAATCAGACGTGAGAC